ATAATGGTGTCCTCCCATGCCTCCTCATCACAACCCTGTGGTTCGAATTTGAAATTCTAAAACAGGAGAGAGAACATGCCAATTTTAGGAGGGGTTCAAAAGGGTCAAATGGAAATAGTGGCCGGCCATATGATATTAGGATCCTCCCATGTGTGTACGACACAAATATGTGGTTTGGGGTTGAAGAAAGTGGCTCCAAGGTGTTCAACATTAGCTCGGAAGGAGGGGTTCAAAAGGGTCAAGCTACATTAGTGGCCGGCCACCAACTTTTAGTGTCCTCCCATGTGTGTACAACACAAATATGTGGTTAAAAGTTCAAGAAAATGGCCCAAGGGTGTTCAACATTGGCTCGGAAGTGAGAAAAACGGGCGTCAGAAGGCGTCGGAGGATATATAACTGGTTGCTGAAATAATTGCTGGTCTCCCACCCTTCTACAGCCTTCCTGGGGATGAAACAGAGGTACCTGCCAAAAATGAACGAAAACCGATGCAAAACGAATGTTCGGGGGCCAAAACGCGCAGTTCGGGGCCCCGAAAACTGCCTGTTAAACACCGAAAGTGGCATTCGGCCACGAAGTGGGTCTCTCAGACCCCAGTGTCCCTCAAAAGGGAGCAAATAAGATGTATGCCAAAATTTAGAGCAAACGGAGATGGTTAAGCGGTCCCGAACCGAGGCACACGGCCAACGGTCCCGAAAAACCGGAAACCGGGCTCCGAAATGGGAAAAATGGCCTACGACCACCAAATGTAGCCCACGGCCACTGAGAGATGGTCTACAGGACCTCTCCCTCCCCTCAGGAAAAGGGCTCCGAAGTGGGCAAAATGGCCTACGGCCACCAAATGTAGCCCACGGCCACTGAGAGATGGTCTACGGGACCTCTCTCTCCCCTCAGGAAAAGAAACAGAGAAAATCGAGTCTGGTTCGCAAACCGAGGCAAGGCAAAGAAGAGGGTTCGGAAGTCCGGAGGCAGGGCTCACGGCCGCGACTCTGAGACTTCTGAACGAGCACGATATGCCACATCACCAAGTGCTCAATCGGTGACGTCTGAGTCTTAAGGTCGGTCAAAAATGGGGTGTCTACAATCGGGTTCCCGGTTTGAAAGTTAGAGTTGGATTTCGGTTTAGGCAAACTAGTTCCTTAAGAAACTTAGAATTCAAGGTGTTGACGCCCCAAAATCACCAAACAACGTCAGATTAGCACGAAACTTGGCACACACGACCGCCTTGGCATGAGAGACTTGTGGGAGAAAACGGGACTCGAATCGGGTTCCCGGTTTGGGAGTTAGAGCTGGATTTCGGTCTAGGCAAACTAGTTCCTTAAGAAACTCAGAATTCGAGGTGTTGACGCCTCAAAATCACCAAACGGCGTTGGATTAGAACGAAACATGGCACACACGACCGCTATGACATGAGAGACTTGTGGGAGAAAATGAGACTTGAATCGGGTTCCCGGTTTGGGAGTTAAAGTCGGATTTCGGTCTAGGCAAGCTAATTTCTTAAGAAACTTAGAATTCGAGGTGTTGGTGTCCCAAAATACCAACTAGCGTCAGATTAGCACAAAACTTGGCACACACGACCGCCTTGGCATGAGAGACTTGTGGGAGAAGACGAGACTGAAATCGGGTTCTCGATTTGGGAGTTAGGGTCGAATTTCGGTTTAGGCAAAATTATTTACTTAATTATCTTTGTAATTGTATAGTAGTTAGATTTTTATGTTTTTTTTTTGTTATTAACATATTAATACATAATTATATTGTCATTAATTATTTTTGTTTTTTGTTTTCAAATATTTCCCGTGTAGGAGTTTGCTTCTTGTAGAATGCATGCCTGTGAAGAATACGACTAACTTTTGTTTTTGTTATCCACGGAGAATGATGAGAAAAACTTTTGTTTTTTGTTATGTTCTTTTGAATTGTGAACAACATTATGTATTTAAACATTATATATGCATTATGCAATATTATATAGTGGGGTAATTTTTCTAATGTGCAGTTATGAATATAAGAATATTTTTATTATGGAGAAATTGTTATTTCTATACAAGATTTATTTATTTATTATTATTATGCAATTATTGGTTTCTTTTTCAATTTTTTTCATTTAATAAAGGTAATTTGAATATTTTTAATAATTCTATTGTAGTTTTTTTTAATTTTTTTAATTTTATTTTTTGCGACGGCACCACGCTGCCGCAAAAAATAGTAGAGCTAAATTTAATTTTTTTGGCGACACAGGCAATGCCGTCGCAAAAAGAATTTTAGCGACAGAGGTCATGTCGTCGCAAAACAAACATATTGCGACAACATTGTGTTGCCGTCTCAAATAAAAATTTTAGTGACGATACAACATTGCCGTCATAAAATGTCTCATTTTTTTACATATTATAGGCGATAGTAAAATGGCATCGCAAAAGACCACATTTGTTGTCACCAAAAAAAAGGCGACGACATAATGCCATCACTAAAACGTTTTAGCAACACTCTCTTTTGTGACCCCCCTTTGTTGTCGCTAAAAGTCATTTGTCGTTACTAAAAGTTTTTTTGAGACGGTATTAGGAATGTCGTCGCAAAAAACTGAAATTTTTGTAGTGTAATATAGATATAGACATAAATAGATATATCAAGAATCTTATGAAGAGTAAGAGTCTCTTTTGAGTAGAGGGTTAAAAGTTTTTTTTTTTTTTTTTTTTTGTGTGTGTGTGTGTGTCTTTCAATCTATTTTAAGTTATATAATTTTTCTCTTTTTTTAAAAAAAAATTAAAATAAAATTTTAACCAACTTTTTAAAACAAGCTAAGGCCTATTTTGAGAAATAAATTAAAAATCATTTTTAAACTTTTAACTAAAGTCAAGTTTGGCATCTTTCAAAAAATTTAAAAAGTCAAAAAGTCACTATCCTATTTAAGTCACATCATCTCATTTAAGTCACATCACCTCTTTAACACATCACTTCAAACCCAACCCAAATCCAACCCATATTTCATAAAAAGTCAAAAAATACACTTATTTAATCTTCCCAAACTTAACCTAACTTTTCTCTCTCATAAATTTTATTTTTTAAAATAACTTTTAATCCTTTTTTTCAAAACACTCAAGTGATCTCAATTGTGACCTCAAACATTTAGGAAAATGTTTCGTAACTCAAATTTTGTGACTCAAAAGTGGTTCAAATGGCCAAAACGACGTCGTTTTGACTAACTCAAATTTTGTGACTCAAAAGTGGTTCAAATGGCCAAAACGACGTCGTTTTGACCATTTTTATGTTGTTCTGTACTCAAAACGATATCGTTTTAACCATTTAAGTCACTTTTAAATCACAAAATTTGAATTACGTAGCATTGGCGATATATTACCAAAACTCATCACACAAAATAAAATCACACCGAAAAATGCTCTTTCTAGTTTATTCTCCTTACTTCGTACGTTTCCCAATTGGACAATACTCTATACTTCCCCATACTAGAAGACAGATACACTCGCATCGATAAACTTCCCGTGACTAAACTCCACAAATCATATACTTCCACGTGGATAATCACCCATAAATAGTGCGAGTATCATATATCTAAACATACTCGCGAAGTACGTATACGATTTTGGCCCATTGCATACGATGCAAACACTTTCTTCACTTCCATCCCATTCCACGTTTGTCTACTTCTCCCTCTCTTGATAGACTCCTACTCTCTCTCTCTCATAATACTCTGTTGCATTTCAGAGAGTGAATGCTTGCATCAATGGCGTCTAGGGTTTGGATCTGCTTGTTCTTGTTCGTTTTCTCTCAAATCGCTCCGTCATTTGCCTCTGAAACCGACGAAGCACAATCGAAGGAGTTCGTTCTCACTCTTGATAACTCTAACTTCTCTGATACTGTTGGCAAACACGACTTCGTCGTCGTCGAGTTCTACGCTCCATGGTAATTTTGCATTATTATTATTATTCAATTCTCTTCCTTTTTAATTCTTTGTTTTTTTTTTTTTTTTTTTCTTTTGGTAGTTTAATTTAGTTGTTTGGTATATCAAGTGAATTCATACAATATACCTATTGTGTTGATTGGCAGAGACTTTCATATTGAAATCTGAATTCGAACATGAGGCTTATACTTTGTATTCCTTCTTTCTATATGAAGGGGTAATTAATTAAGGATTCGATCTAAATATGGAACATAAATGTGAAACAGTCCGTGTTGGGTTGATTGGGCATATGATATTATCAATTTGAGACTACAAAATATTTGTAATTTACAGTCGGTGATTGGGAGATAAAATCAATTATCTCCTACCCAAACAAGTTAAAGAAGTGAAATGGAAAAGGGAGAGAAACCACATCTTGAAAATCACTTTTTGATTCTCTTCAAAAGTGGAGAGATTTAGGGAGAAAATGAATGAGGGTTGACAAACTGATGTGGCACCTATTAGTCAACTAGGTCCCATTTCACCTTCCAAAAATGTTTTATCACTGAATGACACATTCCTTTGTAAACAATCTTGGTAAAAAAATGTGTGGTTATATAGCATTTTCCAATTTCAAATATCAATCATATGTCATCCACATCAATATCACAATAAAGAAGGGAAGTTAATAGCCACAAATTACAATGACATACATGGAAAGTAGTTGGGAATAAAATTGCAGGCCACCTTGCCAAATCCGCTAACTAGCATCACCTACTTGAGCATGCCTCTTTTAGCTTCTCTGCTTGAGCGCACACACCCACCCTTGTTTCAAATTGTTTTCAACTACAAGGTCTACGTGACTAAGTGTAGGTCATCCTTGGCTGATTTTGTGACATAAAAATCACACATGTTCTAAACTAATGCATTATTCTCATGCAGTTATTCCTGAGATTAGATCAGACTGGATCAGATCACACTTTGTATTGTCTCTGATGATCTTTATTCTTGAACACTTGGACACTTTCATACATCTAACTTGCACATCTAGCATTTGTTTGTCAACATACTAAATCCTAAATCCTGGAGCAACTTTTGCTTGATTTTCAGGTTCGTGTCACTTGGCATTGGTCATTCTTGATTGAAAAGAGGTCTTATGCTCTGTTATTTAATTGGTATATGCTGTCAATTTTTTTTAGGTTAGTCTCCCTTCGTTACTGAGAACAAGTGTATGAGACAGTAGATGTCGGAGAAGAAAAGGCCACTAGCGTTTCCTCCCTAGTTTCTTTTCCCTACGCACAACACAGCTGTTGTGCAGTAGCCGACCCAACAGCCCCTGTTTCCTCTTTTCTTTCTCTCCCCGTACACCTTGTTTTTGTGTTCTGCAACATTGCTGGCTATGGTGAGAGGTCAGTTTTGTATTCTGTAACTCAAGCTTGTGTTAACAAACTTGAGCATAGAAACATTTGAAGCATGAGCTTTTACAAATAATACATTTGAACTTTCATTTTTATTCTTTACCCTTAAAAATCAATCAACTGTAACTAAATTAAATGGGTAAAATGGTTATCATGTTAGGATAATTTCATCATTTCAAAAAGTTTACACAACATCAAATATAGAGTTCACACCAACTTGGGTTCTCCTTTTATAGATAGATTAAATTAGATGATCTAATTTGAAGAGTCAAATCAGCTACCCTCTTGCCCTGAATTAGTGTAGGACTTAATAAATTCATTTGGATGATTACTTTGATGCCTTTTACATATTTGGCCAGGAATTGGAATCAGTGGGTCTTGGAGTTGTAGAGTGTTGCATGGTGATGTGCATGCATGTGCTTGTACTTTGAAAACATTTGTTGTGAATTATGAACGATTTCTTTTCTAGATGCAAATTGAGTTTGTCTTTTGGTCAAGTCCTAAGTAGTTCAGTGTCAATACACAAGTTTGCATTGTATGAGTTTCCTTGCTAACCACCTGCTTGTAGGCTTACTGAGTTAACTCTGTTTGCGTGTGTTTCTTCCTCCCCATTGAAGATAAATGATACCTAGGAATGCACTTAAGCCCTTTGTACCTTAATAAACAGCTTATTATGTGCAGCTGTTCCTTGAACTTTATATCAAGATACTTGATTAACATAACATGCCGTCTACGTTTACTTCTCTGATTGCTATTAAAATGTCTATGTTTTCATGGATGTGATTACAATTACATTTTCATGTTGAATATTATGGAAAGTACTTTTCAACAAATTTACAGTTTATCTTGTTTTTATGCTTATTTTGTGTTCTGTAACAGGTGTGGCCATTGCAAAAAGCTTGCTCCGGAGGTAATGAAACTATCCAATTTCAGATATTTAGCTAGAAATTTCATCAAGCTTTGGATTGTATTTTAGAAGATAATATAGGGGTATTAGGGATGATCTAAATAAGTAAAAATTTTGACTTTTTACGAAAAAACGTGAAATATGGGTTGTGTTTGAAGTGATGTAGTAGAGAGGTGATGTGACCCAAATAAGATAAACACCCCTATATATGCTGATACGGTATATCTATATTGATTTGCAGTATGAGAAAGCTGCATCTGCATTGAGCAGTCATGACCCTCCCATCATTCTAGCAAAAGTTGATGCTAATGAAGAAAAGAACAAAGGGCTTGCAGGTGAATTTGAGATTAAGGGTTTCCCCACACTTAAGATCTTGAGAAATGGAGGGAAGAATATTCAAGATTACAAAGGTCCTCGGGATGCTGAAGGTATTGTTGCTTATTTGAAGAAGCAAAGTGGTCCTGCATCTGGTGAAATAAAATCTGTGGAGGATGCTAGTGCTCTTATTGATGGCAGTAAGATTGTCGTTGTAAGTGCCTTATACTTTCTTGTTTTCTATTCCCATATATACCCCTATCATGATTTTGGAGATTAAAGGCATTTTACATTCTTACAGGTTGGGGTGTTCCCAGAATTTTCTGGAGAGAAGTATGAGAATTTCACAGCTGTAGCTGAAAAATTGCGGTCTGAATATGAGTTTGGTCACACTTTGGATGCAAAGCTCCTGCCACGTGGAGAATCATCAGTTACTGGGCCAGTAGTTAGGTTGTTCAAGCCATTTGATGAACTTCTTGTTGATTTCAAGGTATCAGACTATTGGTACATTTTTAACGTTATGATGCATTGTATAATTTTTATTGATTTTATCATAATCTCTCTATACACACACACACACACACACACAACTACTCTATTCCTTACAGGAGGATACAATGTATCTAAATCATGTTGTATGCTTGCAGGATTTTGATACGGATGCTTTAGAGGAGTTTGTTGAAGAAGCTAGCACTCCTGTTGTGACTCTCTTTAACAAAGACCCTAGCAATCATCCCTTTGTTATTAAATTCTTCAACAGTCCCAATGCCAAGGTGAACAACTGAATCATACTTTTTCAGTCTGCCTAACAGAATTATATTTAGAAATACTTGACATTTCCACCACTTCACTGATGTTGGTTGGTTGTTGTAAAACTGAATATTATTTATCATGTTCTTTCTCTTCCAAATTTTGAACATGTTGCCTTGACTTTTACTTTTCCATCTCACTGAAAATTTGAATTTTGAACATGTTGAATTTTGTTATTTTGAATTTTAATAGCCTTTCTCTGGTTGTAAACTTGGCTCATAAATAGTTTCCTTTTCCTGCATCTGTCTTTTCATATCGTTCAAAGCAAAATGCCTGTATCAGTTGTTTTTACTTTGTTGCTTGCCTTCAAATTCAGGTTTTGGTAGAACAGTCATTATTTGGAAGTTTCCTGGTTTTGTGGATCATATGGTTGGTTATTTTATTGGAGACTACCATTTCTGGCATACCATTGTACCCATCTCGATATGACCTCATATTGCTTAGCATAATAGCATTTTGAGGATTATGCTCTGTTCTTTGACATGTTCCTTCTTGTAGACCTGCTTTAAAGAAGTATATCGCTTTTATTTTTGTTTATTTTTCGTTGTTAAATATATATTATTTTTTTCTAATGAAATTTTTTGGAATGGCTAGGCTATGTTGTTTCTGAATTTTAGCAGTGGGCTTGTTGATGCTTTTAAATCAAAATATCGTGATGTTGCTGAGCAATACAAAGGACAGGGCATAAGTTTTCTGCTGGGTGATGTTGAGGCTAGTCAAGGTGCATTCCAGGTTAGTATCTTTTGGTCTGTAGATTGCATAGTTATTTGATATATCTCATTGACTTGTTGATTATAACCGTCGGTTTCAATGAACAGTATTTTGGGCTCAAAGACGATCAGGTGCCTCTCATCGTCATACAAACCAATGATGGGTTGAAATATCTTAAACCGAATGTGGAGCCTGAACAAATTTCATCATGGGTGAAGGAATACAAGGTGGTGATTGCTGCTTTGAGAAATCGATGATTTGTTCAATAGCAATGATCTTTTAGAAATTTGTATTGGACAAATCGCTTTTCTTTGATAACTTTCTCTTCTTGAGTAATCTATTTCATATTTAATTTTTTTTTTTTTTGGTCCTGTTAATGAAGGATCCCATCAAAAAATGATAGAGATTGTTTAGTTTTAAACTTTTAATATGTCCTTCCATCAGGAACTAACTATAGTAAATAATTACAGGAGGGCAATGTGCTTCCATACAGAAAGTCTGAACCCATACCTGAAGTTAACGATGAATCTGTTAAGGTGGTGGTTGCCGACAGCCTCCACGACATGGTTTTCAATTCCGGGAAAAATGGTGCGTATAAACAGTAATTTGTTCAGCATTTTATTTGTAACTTGGGATTAGTGTCTTATTTATTTATTTATTAATTTTTTTGTGTGGTCCTTATGTCAATTAGAATTGCAGGTCTTTTAGCTTGAGCTTTCTAAGTTTAGTTCAGGGCTCTTCCCATGCGATACGTTCAAGTGAAAAAAAAAAACAGAAAAAAATAACAGAACTTTCTTATTCTATGCCTTGGGTATGGATAATCTCTAAAGTCGTCATTTTTTTCCCTCCCCGAAAAACATGGCTTGAGGAACAATGCAATTCTTTTGTTGCCGATCACACACACACACACACACACACACACACACAAAAGAAGAGAGAAAGAAAGAAAGAAAAGGAACAATGCCATAGAGAAACGGTGTTATTGTCTATGATGTATATACCAATTGATTTTGCATAATCAATTTGGATGTGGATGATGATTGGTTTGGAGTTCAGAAAACCAAGAAAAAAGTGATAGACATTCACATGATATTTTATTTATAATTGATATATCTGGTCATGTTTGTTCTGCAGTTCTGTTGGAATTTTATGCACCCTGGTGTGGTCACTGCAAAAAGTTGGCTCCAATATTGGATGAAGTTGCTGGTTCATTCCAAAGTGATGGTGATGTTATCATTGCAAAGATTGTAAGATTTATAACCCAAACTAGCTAAACAATTAACTTCTCGAAGGAATATATTGCTTTGCCAGTGTAGTTGTTTAATTTCTGCAAATAGTGTGCTCATATGCAGGGGTGGATGGAGGGGGTCTTAAGGGAGGCCTTGGCCCCTCCTACATTTTGATAAATCCCACTTTTATATGTTTGTATTTTTTTAGAAATTTTTGTATCCCATATAATGCCCCCTCCCAAACTTAATTTGGCACCCCCAAAAATTTTAAAAATCTCACTTTTTATTGGAGTTGTTTTTCAAAATGTCTCATATAATGACCCTCCAAAAATTTATTTGGAGAATATAGTCTATTTGATTGTTGTGATTTATGACCCTCCAAAAATTTATTTGGATAATGTAGTCCATTTGATTGTTGTGAAATCACATTAAAAAAAATATTTCCTTAAATTTTGGTGGAGAGAATTGGTTTCTTATGTGGATTCCTATTTTATTTATATATTTTTTTAAATTTTGGTTCCGGCCCTGCTCGTATGTTCCAATATTAGGCATGAAGTAACTTCGATTTGACGCTGTACTGTTCATCAAAGGCTTCTAAATTTGAACAATAAAATTCTTTTGCATTTGCAATATTAAAATTAATTTTGCATGTTAACACTAGTTCAATTTGTTGTCTTATCTATGGTGATTGTTTTTTGAATTCTCATCTGTTAGTCTTCTGTCTGCTTGATATGTGTTTCTCCCATGTATCTGCTGTTACAATTTTTCTGCATTGGTTTGATTTTGACTTGCTGGCTTCATCTGTGTAAATGTTGATCCTTTATTTGATTGTTACTAATTTTATTCCTAAATTTAGCTCACAAAGAAGAGCAGGGGAGCATTGATGTATCTTATTTATAATGAGACTTCGTAGCTTTTATTTTATCTATTTGGGATTCATATGTTTTGAGTGGTCTCGTTCCAGTTGAAACTGTGATTCTATCCCAACGCGAATGTGGTTCTAATGAGATTCTTATTGTTTTGAACCATGGAATCGCAGTTCTAGAGCGGCAGCGTCACCCCCTTTAGGAGATTTATGCAATTATGTTCCTGAATCGCTTCCACTATTTTGTACTTTGTAGGATGCCACTGCAAATGATATCCCAGTTGATATGTTCGACGTGAAAGGTTATCCAACGTTGTACTTTAGGTCAGCAAGTGGAAATCTGTTGCAGTATGATGGGGATCGTACCAAAGAAGATATAATTGACTTTATTAAGAAGAATAAGGATAAAACTACCCAGCAAGATCAGCAAGATCAGCAAGATCTTCGAAAATCTGAGTTGTAATGAAGGTAATGTTTCTTCATTACAAATTTACAATTGTCTCATCATTTAAGGCAATGGTTTCAGATCGTAGTCTGATCTGATTTAATTATAAAATATTTTTATTTGCCCCATTTTTTTGGTGGAAATGGAAATCTTTGCCAGCTTAATTAAATAACTACAATTTGTTAGTTGTGCAAATGATACATTCTGATAACATTATGAAGGTTAATTATTTAACAATACTGGTGTCTGCACCATCAGTAGTATATCTTGTGAACACTACTTTGGCAATTAATTATATTCTTTTGGGTTCTGTCTTCTGTTGTTATGGAGTTTTGCATAATAGAGTATCCATGGTCTGAGCTTGTGGAATAATTGATTTTATAAAAGTAACAAGGTTGCTGCTTGAGGTTTATTGTTTGTCTTTATGCTGACGATATATATTTTTGTATATTTCTGTTGATTAAATTCTGGGGAAAATAGAGTAATAGGAAATGGGACAAAATTTGTGAACATGAACACGATTTTTGTTTGGAAAGTGGTTCTTGAAAAGTTTTTAGTGAGAAAATATAGCGTCGCATTTTTATTTTCCTAGTTTGCCGATAAAGGCAAAAAAGGATTCATTTAGCTGACCCTGTGGGAGACAAGATTTGTTCGGTTTGGTTCTTTTGTGTTATTTTGTCTGCAGGGGGCAATCGTCATTTTCGCAGTTGCTAATTGACATACATGCGTAGGGTTCCTTTGGATGGATGTGAATTTGAAATGCATGGATTTGACATTAATCATTTATGGAGAATTACTCAAATTTAGATTTAATAGTTTACTTATAAATTTCAAAATTAAAGTAAATTATTTTATCATGATGGATTTGAAATTACTATGTAAAAGTATTTATTTGAAATCATGCTTAAGATCCTTTTCTAGCTACAAAAATCCTACTACAAATCCTCACCTGTCATATTCTATAGTTTTTCCACCCACCTTTAGTATCAGTCAAAGAGGACAGCCAACTCTTGTTTTTTGTAGAAAGAGAGATATTTTATAACAATCTTTAGGCTTGGTTTGGATCATCGATTTAGGTTAGGGATTTGGAAAGGGAAAAAAAAAGGTAAGTGAAATGTGAATGAAATATAATTATATTTCATGCACCTTTCCTTTTTTCTTTTTTTTTTCCTTTCTAAATCCTTACCCAAACCGAAAAAAATACTTTCTTTTTTTCAAATACTTCCTTACCCAAACTGAAATATAATTATATTTCCTTTTTTTTTTTTCTGTCCTTTTTTTGGCACGTTTGCACATTTGTTCGTTGGTACCTTTAAAATAATACTTCTGACATAAACCTAAAGTGAGCTCTTCAAATTCACACACATTAAAGCTAAAATTTTGTGAGAGCCTCTATTATGTACAAATTTGCATTGTGTTACAAACTAAAAAAACTTTTGTCATTATTATTTGCTTTAATTCCAGTTGATGCATTACGTATACTTTTAGATGAAAGGTTCTCTTGTTATATGGTGAACCTTTTTGTGGACCAGTTTAAGATGTTCTAGCCAATGGACATTGACAATTGACAAGCTTAGAAATTTATTGATATATCCTCATTTTGCAGGAAGAGCTTTCCCATCTGTAATGGAACATGCAGAGATGAGCATAGTTGGATACATGTTAGGCGGCAACTTTACTTTAAACTATGTTAGCGAGGAAGCACTGCATGATCTCCCTCCATGTGATATCCTCATATCCCTTTCTTATCCGCTTTTAATCAAAAAAATCCTTGACCCGAATAAAATGGGAGTTCTTTTCGCTTGTGTAGTTGCAGTAAATTTTAGTTTTGGGGATTGCATAGTTCAGAATGTAACAGTTTTTTTGTTTTGCTTTGCTTTGCTTTGCTTTGCTTTGTGCGCGCGTGTGCTACTATAGATTAAGAAAAGCATGTTTTGAGGTAGAGTATGTTTTAAGTACTTAAATTTTGTCGTATGGAAGTATTTATTTTTGCTTACAAGCTGCTTTTGAGTTCTGACACTTGAAGATCTTGGTAATGGTTTTTTTTTTAGTCCCTCCATTTCTCCCTCCCATTCTGGTTAGAGTCTTAGGCTGTGTTTGAATATTTAATTTGTGAAGAAAAAACAGTGAACTAGAAGTATTTTTTTTTACTTAATTCTTGTTCTTATTTTATTTTTGACAAATTGAAGGTGCAACACTGCAATGCGTGAAATTTTAGCTGTATAGAGTTAGATTTTTGTTCGCTTTTTTAATTTATTTTTAGTAATTTATTTTTATAAATATTTTAGTCTATTTGTTTTATTTTTTAAGGCACAAAGAAATTGATTAAAATATTAAAAAAATCATTAAAAATAAATGAAAATTTATCTAAAAATAGTTTTTGAAAAATCAAACTAATCTATATATATATATATATATATATGTTTTGTAATACAAAATCAAATTATTTATATTTTCAACTTTGTATTGATTTCTTATATATTAATATTCATAATAAATCTCATCAATTGAGAATTTTACTCTTTTACAAAAATGCTATGTTGCATTCTAATAATAATATTTACACACTTTCTGAAAACCTGAGAAGATGGTACGTTGCATTTCATTTTAGAAAAATTTCTGTGTCTTTTTCAGTAAAAAAACTAGACTACACAAAAGATGGTTATGATTTTTCCCTCTTACTAGAGTGAAATCTATACTATATATATAAGTAAATGTAGTGATCTTTTAAAAAATTCAAAACTCTCAATCCTAACATTTTATGAATCTCTTTCCTACGTGGCACATCCATCCTTCTTTCATTCTATTTTCCTATTTTTTCTTATCTTTTTTTTACATTTTTTATTTCACTTTTTAATTACTTATGGCATGGATATAAAAGATTTTCAAAATATTTAAAGATAAAAGATTTTCAAAATATTTAAAAATAGAAGATGAGTTTGACTCTAATTCAAATTTCTTCATCAAAACGAAACTCTCAATCCTAATATCTCATGAACCTCTTTCTTACGTGGCATATCTATTCTTCTCTCATTCTGTTTTCCTATTTGTTCTTATCTTTTTTTATATTTTTTATTTCACTTTTTAATTACTTATTGCATGGATATAAAAGATTTTCAAAATATTTAAAGAAAAAAGAGTTTCAAAATATTTAAAAATAAAAAATGAGTTTGACTCTAATTCAAATTTCTTCATTAATTTATGTCTTACCCAAGGATATTTGAAATAAATAAATAAATAAATTTATAAATCTCAAAACCTAACTTCTATGACAATATGAAATTAGGCAAAAAGATTGGAGAACAAAAATAACGTTCTAAAGAAATTAAACGGGTGATTTAACCAATTATGCAAGATTTTTAACATCTTATGTGAAAATAAGCACATGTTTTAAATCTCATATTGTGTTTTTTGCTCTCTTTTACTTTTGTAATTTATCTATGTTTCTCTTTCTATATTCGTATAATTTATCTTCAAATTTGCATTTGATTTTTTTTTTAATCTTTATCTTATATTTACAGGATCGATTCTTGCTTTTGATTTTTAATTAAGTTTATTCTATTTTTATCTGATTTTCACTTTCTATATTCTTATAATTTTTTATTCTTTCTTATTTCAATTAAGTAGCTTTAGAAGACAAAATTTGATTAAATTATAGGGAGTAGACACAAAATAGAGTTAAAATTTGTATAATAAGATAACATAATTGCTTATTTTTTAACTACACAAAATTTAAATTTTAAAAAATTATAAGTGGCACTTAAATCTTATATGATTTTTAACATACTACCTCGATTTTATTTTAGTTTTTTTTTTACAAATTTTAAAAAATTATAAGTGGCATTTCACTCTTATCTAATTTTTTAATTATTACCCTCTCCATTTCTTCTGTTATTAGAGTTATATTAGATTTTATTTTTCTTTTCAAGTTTGTCTTATCTTATTTTTTAATTTTAAATTTCAACTTTGTTTTTTTTTTTTTTTCAATTACTGAATTTCTCTCTACCTCATTTTTCTAGGATTTGTCTAATTTTCTTATATATATATATATAGTTTATCTTCAAATTTAAACTTAATTTGTTTTTATCAATATCTTATATTTACAGAATCCACTCTTACTCTTAATTTTCAGTTTAACTTTTTTTTCTTCTAAAATTCATTTATTTCAATACTCATCTAAATAAATATCATAATATTTAATTGTTAATTTTTAACATGTTCAACATTATTTACCATTTTTTGTTACTTGCCCGTGCATAGCACGGGTTACCGCTAGTATGTCCTATAAGAATGTGTTTAGATTAGATCTAGAATTTATGAAACAAAATAAAAATAAAAACTTAAATTTATTCATTGTCTTGTTCTTCAATCTTGGAAACAATAATGTTGTGTTTGGTTGGAAGATTTTGGGAGTGATTTGAAAAGGGAAAAAGAAAATGTTCATTTTTTCTTTCAAATATTTTTTCAAATCTCCCAACCAAACACAACATAAGTGAGTTGTTTTCTAGTTGAGAAAAGGATACATGATTACATCCCCTTCCCTTGATAGCATTTAGGGATGTGAAGATGAGTGCATGACTTTTCCTTTGTTTGGAAATTTATAATCACATGATATGTCTAGGGGAATTCATGATTGTCCATTTTAGAGACATTAACAAATATACTTGTCTTAAAAATTAAATGGTTTACATTCAAAACCATACTTACTATTTAATTTTTTCAATAATGGATAATATACACATGATTTTTAGAATTTTAGAAGCGGTGTCACACATGTTCGTATGATCATCTTGTTTCAAAAAAACAAAATTATAAATTGTAGATCGGACATCAAGTTATATGTTTGAATCTGTATTATAAAAAATAGATAACTATTTTTGAAATTGTAATTGTCGTCCATTTTTGTAAAACAAATTTGATTCAAACTTATAACTACCGATGCCCAATCTCTTAATTTTTTGTATGAATATGTTATTCAACAAGTTCTAAAAAGTAAACGATTTGAATCATTGAAGTTGGTCTTAATATGAGTCTACTAAGTCCAAACTCTCTCTCAAGCTAAATGACTAACTTGAGAGAATCCAATCCCTTTTGGAACTCAAAAAATGAGACATAAACACTAACTTCAGCCTTCTCTTTATAATTTATTAGAAGCCGCATTGCACACGATGCATGCACAAATGATCATTTTGTTTTAGAAAATAAGATTATAAAATGTATAAACACCATCTTAAGTTTTTGCTTTATAATAGTATAAGGTCTCGTTTGGAAACAGATTAATTTAGTAACTTTTTGATTATTTGGCTAAAATATGAGCTAAAAAAAATTAGTATGTTTGGGATGATTTTTTGGTTTTTTACAAAAATATGTGCAACAAGTAGAGAGAAAAGAGAATCTTTGACTTTTTTGTATGAGTTGTTCATTTTTTGGCTTCTTTAGTAACTTTTTAACTTTTTTGGCTAAACCGGCTAGTCCCCAAACGAGGCCTAAATAGATAGATTATTCAAATTATGGAAGGCTCATCAAACCAAAGTTGTAATTTTTTATTTTTTTTAAAAAAAATTATGCTTCATATTTTTCTTCTTCCTTTAATTCTCGTGGTAATGTATTGATAATTTTTTTGGATAGGGTAAGATATTGAAATTGAACTCATTAATTCCCTTCCATCATGCATTGAATTATTATTATTGCATCCATGTCATTTATCTCTATCTATCACACACACAGCAGAGACAATGTCAATGCCTAAAGAGTAAGGGTAACGTCTCAACTCGTACTCCGCAGGCAGCAACGGGGCACGTTCACATGCATGCCAAGTACTTTTGTGACCAAAATATTTATAAGAATTTATTTATACCAACCATCATCATTTATTGATATATACAATCCCTATATAGCCCCCACTAGTCTAGTCTCTTACATTGCACAATCATATCACTATTGCTTGTCACGAGCAAAACAATAGTAAATTTCTCATATATTTGTTATCCACATATAAGAGAATAATATCTTCTGTGTCAAACGTGATATCACTTTAGAAATTGACATCTACCAAACTATATACCAATTCAATCAAGAAAAATGCTACTATCCATGTCATTATTATTATAATTTTTTTTTTTTGGGGGGTAAAGTTATGAATTTACAAAATTATAGCTTGCACTCTCAAAGTGAAAAATTATGAATTATTGTGATTATATTATGAACATTATAATATAAATATTATGAATTTTTAAACAAAAAGAAAGATATATATATATATATATATGGGTTTATTACACTTTATTTTTAAATTACCGTCAAATTATCTATTTAGTCAATAAAGTATATAAATCAAAATCTATTTAGTTCTTAAATTATCAATTAAATCTATTAAATTTAAACTTATTTAGTCCCTAAAAAGATTACAAAAATAAAATATATGGCCCATACATATTATAAATTAGTAAAAAACCCTCTCCAATTAAGATATTATTACAGAAAAATGTTTTAATTTTTTTTTTTGTGTCTTTAAAAGGTATTTTATTTCATTGTGTGCTTAAATTAATATTAGAGTATGAGTCTTACCAATAAATCATATGAATATTAGATATATTAAAGAAGTATAATTAGATAATTTAGATAATAATACTTCTCTACAAATAGTAATAGAACAAAAAATGATACATTAATTAAGTAATAAAAATAACTTAGAGAAAAACTTAAAAATAATCAATTAGAAATTATAAACGAAATCTGACATATAATACTAGATAAAGGCAAGTATGTATACATTGTAGAAGATAAGCAAGAAATACTATAGATAATTACCCTTATCCTTATAAAGGAAATTCAATATATGGATTGCTGCCTACTTTTCAAATATAGAATAAAAATTTAAGGTTTTTTTGAAATAAATTTTAACTAGATAGGACCTTTTACTAATTTATAATATTTATGGGCTTATATTTTATTTTTGTAATTCTTGTAAGGACTAAAATAAGTTTAGATTAAATACTTTAGGGACTTAATGGATTTAATCGATAGTTTAAAAACTAAATAGATTTTGATTTATATATT